GTTAAGCTTACTCTGTCCCATGATATAAGATGCTGCTTTCTCTTTTCAACCATGCTACCCCACAAAAAAGAACGAGAGATCTGATCCAATCTTTCCAAAGTCGCCTGCGGCATTAAAATGGTTGTCATTGTGTGAATCGGAATTGACAACAAGACCGACTTAGTCAAAGTTATCCTCCCAGCCAGACTAAGAAAACGCCCTCTCCAACCAGATAGCCGGGCCGCAACACGCTCAATGACCTCACCAAAAGTATCCTTGTTAATCAGTTTGTGAAGCACCGGCATACCCAAATATTTTCCCAACTCTCTAGTGGCTTTGATCCCACTTTCCTCACTTATTTCCTTCGCAAGATTTCTATGCACGTTATCTGAAAAAAATATCTTCGACTTCTCGAGACTCACTTTCTGACCTGAGGCTTCACAAAAATTTTCCAACACTTTCCGTATCACCCGGACCTGAGCTACGGATGCTTCTGCAAACAAGATAAGATCATCCGCAAAGCAAATGTGGGAGAGCTTTGGACCGCCTTGAGAAAGAGAAATAGGCTTCCAATCCTTCCTCGCTATAGAAATCTCTATTTGATGACACAACCGTTGTAAGCATAAGACAAAGAGATAGGGGGAAAGGGGATCCCCTTGTCTGAGACCTCGGGCTGGTTTGAATGGTTCAGTCTTCTCACCATTCCAAAGGAGAGTCATCGAGGGACCAGCTACACATTCCATGATCCAAGTCCTCCAAGTTTCCGAGAGCCCCGCAGCCAGAAGGGTATCTTCAAGAAAATCCCAACGAATACGATTGTAAGCTTTTTCGAGGTCAAGCTTCAGCAACATCCACCCTTTACGTCCCTTTTTACGTCTCATCGAATGCACTGCCTCTTGCACCACCAATATATTGTCCGTACTCAGTCTTCCCGGAATGAAGCTGGATTGAGCCGGCCCAATAAGTTTAGTTATGACTTGTTTCAATCGCATTACCATAGCCTTGGTTATGATTTTGAACAACACATTACAAAGACTGATCGGTCGAAATTGCATTATGGTTTCCGGCTTCACCACCTTAGCAATCAAGGCCACCAAAACATCATTTGTCCCTTCCGGCAACTTCTTTGTCTCAAAAAACTCTTGGACGAAACGTGATACCGATGGCCCGACAACATCCCAACAGTCATGGTAGAATACGGGCTGGTATCCATCCGGTCCTGGTGCTTTGAATTTTCCCATACTTCTGATGGATTCCTCAACTTCCAGAGGGGTGAAAGGTCTGTTCAAATAATTCCGTTCTGAGTCCGTGAGTGCAGCAAAGCCCAAGTGAGGTAAACCCGTAACTACCTCGTCAATATCCGTCGTATAGTAGAGTCTCTTGTAATACTCAGTCGCAAGAGTCTCCAAATCCTGAGGAGAAGAAACCCACAAACCCTCATTATTTTTCAAGCTCTCGATCCAGTTCCTACGCCGACGTATAATTGTCGAAGTGTGGAAGTACTTCGTGTTTCTATCCCCGCCAACTATCCATTTTTCCCGAGACTTCTGATACCAAAGTAGTTCCTCTTGCTCAAGCACCGTGTCTAACTCTTTGATCAAAATTTCCTCTTTCGTCAACAGATCATCCGTCTGAGCAGCATCTAACGAGTCCTGAACCACCTTAATCTCCGTCAGAAGCTTCTCTTTTCTTCTATGAATATCACCAAACACTTCACGGTTCCATGTTTTAAGTTTTAATCTTAAACCCTCCAAGGCAGCAGGAGTAGAGAGCTCATTATTCCAAGAGTGGGTGAGAATCTCTTGAAAGCTTTCATGCTTAAGCCAAGCAGCCTCAAACCGGAATGGTCTACGTTTTGGGTTCCCACTGTTGACCGGACACAACTTCAAATAAAGAGGTGCGTGGTCTGAAGCTAACACTGGTAGGTGAGTCACTGTTGCTTCTTGCCATTTCAAACGCGCATGAGGACAACAAAGGATCCGATCCAACCTTTTAGCAACGAAAGTACTCTCCAACTTTCCCCTCCTCCAAGTAAACCGACTTCCCTTAAAACCCATATCAATTAAGGAGAGCTCGTTTATCCAACCATCAAAGGCCCGTGAGTCCGACGACAAACGGCCATTCCCACCGGTTCTTTCGTCCAAGCGGATGATAGTGTTAAAGTCCCCCCAACTATCAAGGGATCCTTAATCGCTGTGATCACTGATTTCAAACTCCCCCAAAGCCCACTCCGGCGACTAGCCGAAGGAGCAGCGTACACCGCAATTAAGTGCACCTTCTCCGCACTATTCTCAATCGTCGCGTGGATAAACTGGTCCGATGACTAAACAATCGAGACTACACCCACCGCGGACCGCCACAACAACCAAATACCCCTACTCTGACCCTCAGCATCGACTCTAAAAGAGTTCTCAAAACCAATGTCCTGGCAAATGCGCTGTGCTCTATCTCCTCCAGCGTGAGTTTCAAACAGCGCAAGGATATCAACATTAAATGTCTTCATAATGTAACAAATCGATCTTCGAAAGTTGGGTTTGTTCGTCTCCCGGCAATTCCAAAAAAGACAATCCATTAAGACTTCACAAAGTAACCGTTGGATCACCGGGGCGAACCGTCAAACCACCGTCGTAACCTCTCCCACAGCCGACGGAGCACTAGGTGTGTCCGTTGCTCTAGTATGTGGATTCTCAGTCGACTCCTCCCTCGAAGCCTCTGTAGAAGTCGGGTTCATGTCAGTCAACGAGCTAGTCCTCAGCCTATCACCACTCTCTGGTGTAAACACGCCACCGGGTCGGCCCACGAAGCCTTCCTCAACCCTGAGCCTTTTCCCGGACACAGCCAAATCACCATCTTTGCGTTGTGACCCAAAAACTAGGCCCCTAGTTGGCCGATTCTTAATGACTTTAGGCCTAGGCCCATTAAACTCATTGGGTTTATTGCTCCCAACTTTAGTCTCTTTTAACGCTACCCGCTGTCCCTTCTTCTTTTTTTCAAAACTTCCACCAGCCGCCCTATCTTGGGTAACACTCTTCCCTTGATTTCCTCCTTGCGTAATACCCTCATTTTCCTTATTCTCCTCATTCGAAATCACAACTTCCCTTAATCCTGAGGCAATCGTATCTTCCACCAAGCTCCCAAACTTATTGGAAATTGTCATTGTTTCCTTATTCCCATTTCCCGAATTAATGCGAAGATTCCTCTCCGATCTCCCACCGGCTGCAAACACCACCTTATCCGCCGGGACTGAAGTGTTCCGACCAGGACGTCGCACCGCCGTAAAACCATCGCCTTGTTGATTTATCACCTGAGGAGGTGCTACTATCGGCTGCTCCACCACTGGTTCCACCGGCCGTCGGGGGCAATTATGCACCAAGTGACCAAACACACCGCAACCCGAGCATATGTTCGACATACCCTCATAAGCAACATAGTATCTTTCCCCATTGATCATCACTGAGCCCTTAAGTGGCTTGGATAGATTCACTTCCACACATACTCTCGCAAACCTTGCCCTTTCAATGTGTAAAGTAGTCAAATCCACTTTTACTGGCTTCCCCAATCCACTAGCAATACCAAGCAAAATATCCTCCTGGTAGAAAATCACCGGAATGTTTGACAGGCGGACCCAAACTGGTGTTGTAACTATGTCATCGCGAAGTGGGTTAAAATCCGGTGACCAGTCCTGAACCAGTAGATAGCTTCCAAATACTTTCCATGGCCCCCCCGTCAATGCTGCATGATACTCGTCTTCCCGATCAAACCGAATCATAAAACACTGCCGAGGCAAATCCAACACATACATCCCCCCATTAGGCTTCCATAGCTCTCTCAGTTTTCGACTCAACGCCGAGATAGCTACATTCCTTCCCAAAACCTTCACGATAATACATTGCTTCCACAGCCCCTTCATCACATCCAGCACTTCAGACCCAATTGTAATAACCGGCTCTCCATCCTCTCCATCCGGGAATTCCACCTGTAACCTCTCGGACACAAAAGCAGAGTTTAACACCTTCTCTGGTGCAGACCTCCCACCTACTTCACCACCAATCACCTTGCTCACCCACGAAACAACCTTATCAGGCGGATCTCCTGGAGGACGCCCCTTCTCCCCGGCATCCGTCATAGTAGCATCTTGTTCAGTGACCACCGAAACCCTAAAATCGCCGTTGAGGGCCATCTTTTTCTCAGCTTATTGCGACTTATCCCCCGGTTTATTAAATGTCCTTATCTCTTGCTTTGTCATATAGGTTTTACATTTTAATAGTTATCTCTATTTATTGGTCTATGTTTTCTTAAACATATTGATTCTGATTGATAACCAATTATTTTAGCAATACATCATGTAAGAGGATTTTGAAAGTAGAATCGTTGTTTTGCTTTATTCAGTAATATGATTCAAAGAAAAAGATGATTTAAGACAAGTAATGTCAAATTTTGAATATTAAGTTACCTATCAAATTGAAATCAGGTAAATCCATTTGATCACAAAATTAAGTCAAATTTAAGTGTCACGTTTAATATGTAAATACAATATGGATTAACCGGTCAAAATCAACTTGAACAATTTGCCAAATGCTTTTCTCATACACAAATAATAGTGCCATGTATTTATGAATTTGAATAATCATAATATAAGTATAGATTTGTTTCTACCTATGTTGTGATTTGATTTTTTATTTAATATCTAACTTTATTGTGCACCAGAATCCAGAAGTAACAAATGAGAAAAATAAGATATGTTAGGTGACATAAATATTGTAAATTTATGTCATTAATAATTAGTCACTTTATAGGCTCACACATTTTATATTTGTCATTTGTAATATGAAAAATACAAACTTTTGCAATAAGTTTCTTAGATTTTTTAATATATTTATTATCTTTAATAAAGCAAAATAATGTATGATGATGGAAAAAATATCATTCATTTAAAATAATTAATAAATAAATTAATACCAGCCTAATATTTTGTTTTGTATATAAGAAGAGCTAAACGCCTAAACGTGGAAAAGTTAAGACCCTAAGTTTTGCTACAAAGCCTTTGAGTTGCTTTCTTATTTCACAAGAGAAAAAATGATGATATCCAATCTCCCCGTGGATTTGGTAGAAGAAATACTCTCTAGGATCCCGACTACATCTCTGAAACGATTACGACTTACTTGCAAACAATGGAACGCTTTATTTCAAACCCGAAAATTCACGGAAAAACACCTCTGTAAAGCTCCAAAGGAGTTTATGGTTCTCTTAAGGACGAATGGTAAGGTTTGTCCAATGAACGTCAATCTGAACATTGCCGCTCCATCTATAGAGGTTAAGAGTGCACTTAGCTTAAAGAATTCAGATTATAATTCAGAAGAAGTTTATATAAATACAGTTTTTCATTGCGACGGTTTGTTGTTATGCACTGTGGATGATGATAGACTCATGGTTTGGAATCCGTGTTTGGGGGAAACTAGGTGGATTCAACTCAAAGCTCATGATAATGTGAAAGACTCTACGTTTGCTCTAGGATACCAAAATAACCGTAGCTACAAAATCTTAAGGTGTTGGAAGCGTGGCGAACCATTCCGTGATTTTGTATTCGAAATCTATGAATTGAGTTCTGATTCATGGAAAGATTCCAATAAGGTCTCTTTGGAACACTTCACACCAGTTAATATTGGTGTGTCTTTGAAGGGAAATAGTTATTGGGTTACTATATATAAAAATAATGTCTATGAAAGAAATCACTTGGTAAGATTTGATTTTACGACTAAGAAATTTAAACGTTTGTGTGTTCCGCTAGTTCAAAATTTGGATTGGATAGTTCTATCAATAGTTAGAGAAGAACAACTCACAGTGTTACATCGAAAAAATCATACATCAAAAATGGATATATGGATGGCTGATAACATTGATGATACCCGAGCTACCTTGTCGTGGAGGAAATTATTTACTGTGGAACTGAAAATTCCCACTAATTCTGTCTCTTATTGGATATGCCAGTACCAAAGCTTTTTTATCGATGAGGAGAAGAAAGTGGTCGTGTATTGTGATGCAAATATTGATGGCAATTTCACGGTTAATATTGTTGGTGAGGACAATGCATATTACACAGAACACTCTATTGTACTATCTGAACGATGGATGGGGAGTTCAGGCATATTCAGTTATGTTCCAAGTTTGGTTCGAATCCTGTGAAGTAGAGGATAAAGGTACACAAATGAAGCTAGTATGGAACATGGTTTCTTGAAGCTCAATGAACTGGTCGATTATTTTCGTTTTTGTTGCTGTTGTTACATTATGATTCCTTGTTTTTTATTAGTAGCTTGGGTTTCTTACAAACAACATATTAAGACAATTATTAGAAGTGGTTTCATAACCACCTCATTGATGAGATCAAGCAGTGGAGGGTGAGGCTTATTGTTTTCATGAATTGGTTTGCTATCTTTCTGTTTTGCACTCTTTTCTCGATCGGGTTAAAAATTTATTCCAATTAAAGATTTATTTCTGTTATAAACAAAATTCCAATTAATTATAAAAGATTTATTCCTATAAGCTTATTACATTACAACAATAAGTACAATTTTTTATCCAATTAAATTTTGGTTTTATGTTAAATAACCTATACTGTGATTTTGAACTTCAATATTCATGGTTTATAGCTCAATAAACTCAATTTTTTTTATTCATGTCCAAATTTCATTGATCAATGACGCATATATTAACAGATGCATTTAAAAAAAAAAGTTTGTTGGGGAAATTTTTGTTACAATCTTTTACATACACACATAAATTGATATATGTAATTATATTTTAAAGATTTATTCAACTAAGTATCTTGGCTGATATATAGTTCTGCTTATTAATTAAAAAATCTTCTATACATGGGTGTGCATTTAGTAGTTATATTTATCTCATTATACATCATTAGCCACTTTATAGGCTCATACATTTTACATTTGTCATCTTTGATATATATAGGCTCATACATTTTACAGTTGTCATCTTTGATATATATATATATATGTTTTACGATATAATCATAAATACATACTGTAAAATTATGTCACTACTCAATATTAGTCATTTTATAGGCTCATACATTTTACATTTGTCATCTTTAAAAAAAATACAAATAATTTATTAGGTCTTTTGTATTTGCTTTTTCTTTAACATATAAAATAAATGGATGACTAGATGTTAACCCGCGAGATACCATGGAACAAGTTATTTGTATCTATTTTTTAATTTTAAATTGTATTTGTTTGTTATTTTGTTTGTAATTTTTAGTGTTTAAGAATGTATATTGTATTTCGATTGTTAATTTTATGATTTACCTATGGTAAACTTGCAACAATTTTTCTTCTTTTTACATAATATTAATTTAATCAACTTAATTTGATATATCTGTTAGGCTGCATTAAATTTATTATTTTTAATTAAATTTATTATTTTTAATTAAATTTATTATGCAAAGCGCAAATATCTATATGGTTAATCTCCAACAAAATGATCAAATGACCTTTATCTGTGTATAAGAATCTGCCTCTGGCTACTTACTTCACTGATATCATAAAAATCTCTAATTAGAATATTGTTAATTTTATTACAGTTGTGTCATCATTGCAAATCATATTATTTTTGATAGAAAAATATATATATATTCGACAGCAACTCAGTTACTTATTAACTCATTGGGATGTTAAAGTACTTTAGAGATACCTAATAAAAGAGCAAAAATAGAAACATAATTTTTGATTATTTTTTTCTCAACTCAAAATTTTAAAAACTTTACGTGGTCGTGAGGCTTCTTTTGCTAGTGCCGTTAAGTTCGTTGCTTTGCCACCACTGATCCGATCATCTCTGCTGTACATGTCCATTAGAAATGTATATATATATTTTTATTAATAACATTTGTATGAAATTGGGTCTACGAAATCTAATTTTATCAAAATTATTTGAAATACTTGAAACTAATTTTTTTAAATATCCAAAATATCGGTTATATAAAATTATCCGAATTATTCGAAACCTTGGTAAAAACTTAAACGACTCAAAAAACCTGAATTAATCAATAGCATCGGTTTTACAATTACAGAAAATATTTAAAATTCTCAAAAAATGTTTAAATACCAAAAAGTTAGATAAAATAAGCGAATTGCTTAGTTAGACTCGGGTTTTTTTTGGTGTCCGTTCGGTTTCGAATTCGAATCCGGTTTTCTTGGATATCCAAAATTACTGAACTTTAAAACCCTTTTGGATATATAATTTTAAAGTTCATATATACATCATATAGTTTTTTTTTTCAGTTCTAGTAACAACAATATAGTTTTAATATTGATAGATTCCTATACACATGAATGTGTATTGGGATTCGAAAGTGAAGATGCGTGTTTGTAACAATATCACATATACATTATGATACTATAACACAATAAACTAAAGTTTATATATAAAAGTCAACTATTTAGCACACTCATTTCTACCATATTGAGACTGTTTTGACTTAAACACGACTACACTCGATCTTTGATAAAATAAATTAATAATTTACCTTAATGTGAGGAAGATGATTAGAATATAAACTTAACTATAAAGAAAATAATGAACCGACCAATCCATTAAAACCGACACATGGGTGCCACTCATGTTAATTTGGCTGTTCCTTGTTTTAACATATGCATGGAGACAATACGTTGGTTCGTTATTTAATTATGTAAAGATGGATTTCTAATGTAGGCCAAAGAGAAAAGAAAAAAAAAAGAATAGTAACGTTACGTTGGAGTTTTGTGTTTCAAGTAATTAATATTAGCTGTCTTTGATGCATATACATAAATAGCAATGGGTCGTCGAAGAGTGTTATCTTTGAAGCCAGACTCTTCATAGCTGTATTCGTTTAGGTCTCTATCGTTTCGTTTTGAAGTGTGTTAGGAATAGAAAGAGTTTTATTTGCTTGTAACATGTATATTATGTGGATTAATTAGACGATTTCGATAAAGAAATAACATTTTAGTTTCTTGAGCTTCAATTGCGTAGATTTTATACAAAGTACGATAATTTTACATTTTGTAATTTGGTTAACTACGAAATAAGTTTTGTAAGTAATGAGTAGGAAAATGTCCTCCGAGAATTTTTTTCTCGATTTTATATAAACTGAGTTCGTAAAAAACTGGTAGGAACTTTTCCTAACAAAAATTCTTTCCGATTTCCTACAAAATGTCCTTCGACTATACAATTTGTTGGAATTTGGTACAAAAATTTCTACGACTTTCTTATGAAAACTTTCGTAGGAAATTTTCAACATGTTTGAATTTTCTTTGTAGTTATGTAGTAGGAAATATATTTGGCACGCAAAACTCGTTACAATCCGTTTCTTGCTAAGTATGTAAGCAATTGTTCTCTAAATTGGTTTTCATGAGCTAATTCTAGCGGGTTGTTGACAAAAAAAAAGTAGTAAAAAATATTTCCTACCAACATTTTCGTAAGAAATTTAGTAGGATTATACAATATTTTCTTGTAATTACTTCTTATTAATTTTCTTGCATTCATTTCTATGTATCCTAATAATATATTTTCCCTATGTCCAATGTTTTATTTTTATTTGATTTCTTACGACTAGTTTAGATTTTTTGTTAGAATTACAAGTCAACTAGTTTAGACTAGTTTGGATTAAATCAGCATAATTCATGGTATATTCATTTTGTTCTTCTAGATATGATAATACTATACTCTTGTGTCTAAAAGAACGAGTATGAGATTAAGCCTGATCAGAGTATATCACTCATCAAGCAGAATATTTTTAATAGGTTAGCTTCTTATAGTCCTATGGACCATGTGGTGCACTTGGAAGAGTTATGTAGTACGAGGGAAAACGGGGAAAATCAACCCAAACTATTTCCCGAAGGTATTTTCATACCCAAACTCGCGTACTCTGAATTTTACAACCCAAACCAGCTTTCAATTCAAATAACCAACCTGAACTATATAAAATTTTGTCAATTTCAACCTCGACGTTAACAGTATCCCTGCCCATCTTGAAGATTTGGACAATTAAGCTTAAGCTTAAGCTTAATTTCTCTTAGTTTTTACAGAAGCTTAAGCTTGATTGTCCAAATCTTCAAGATGGGCAGGGATACTGTTAACGTCGAGGTTGAAATCGACAAAATTTGATGTGGTTCAGGTGGGTTATTTGAATTGAAAGCTGGTTTGGGTTGTAAAATTCAGAGTACGCGAGTTTGTGTATGAAAATACCTTCGGGAAATAGTTTGGGTTGATTTTCCCCGCTTTCCCTGTAGTACGATGTAAAGCAATGTTGTACCGCCTTGACTATGTGAAGTTCACAATTATCAAGCTTTCTTTGGGAGATAAAGTAGCAAAGGTGACTCAAACTACTCGAGGCAGGATTAATTAGTGTAGAGCTTTGTTTATCAATCAGTTTTACACTAAGGAAAGATCTATGGTGTTTACGGAATGAGAGCGTTTCAAGAAATACCTTAAAGATTGTTCTCATTAATTCACATAATTCTGAAAATTTGATGCTTATCTTTTTTTATCAAGGGATAGAAGGGATCAAATTATTTTATGGAACCAAGTGCTAATAGCTCAATTGACAAAGATTTCTGGCAAAAGCCTAGAGGTCGCTGGTTCGAGTAACGCTTGAAACGATACCATATTACCTGATCTGGTCTCGGGTCTGAGGGAATGTATGAGTTTCCGTCCAGTTAAAGAAATTTGCTACTAATTTTGTGGGAGAAATGACTTTACTGATTGAGATAGATGAGATCAAAGAATTGAAAAAAAAAAGTCAAATTTGTTTTGAAAACAAATCAAAGAGGTCAGGTTTGGGCCAGAGGAAAAGTCACTGAAGCCATAGATTTGGACCTCTTTATGATGAGCTATTGTGGAGAAGGTGCATAAGTGTATCAAGATGTGGATGATGGAGTTTGGCATGAGGGAACCGATGAGATAAGCTAAGTTTACTTCAAAAGGCTTTTAGGTTAATCTCTCTACATCTGATTTCAGCCCACCTACATGAGCCCAATAACCATCAGCCTAGTCTTCTTATATCATTTGACGATCTTTAATGGGTTGGTTTTATAAAAATTTAGTTTTTGGGGGATTCTATAACAAACAAAAAGATAGGAGTCAGATAGTAATTGTGAAAAAGATTTGTACTATTCTTGTTAATATAAGAAACTTGGAGGTTCCTTCTTTATGACGAAGAAGAAAATAAGAATCTCTCTCTCTCTCTCTTTACGCGTTTCGATCGAAAGATATTTGCAGAACTTTTCCATAAATTTCGTTGAAGCTTCTTCTTCTTCTTCTTCAAAGGTTTGAGATTTGGTTTGGGTTCTTCGTACTGATTCATCACCATGATGAATTCAATCTTTGGAAAGCGAAAAACTCCCGCAGGTTCTTGATCCTTCTCTCTCTGTTTCCTCTGTATTGCATCTTCTAGTTTCAGGATTGATTTGAAGAAAAATTGAATCTTTTTCACTATATAAGCCAATGAATTGCATCTTCTAGTTTCAGGGTTGATTTGAAATCGGATCCAATTAGGTTATAATGTGTTGATCGTTTTGACTCTTGAGGTATTTGATTGGTTTGTCTCTATATTGATTAGTTGCTTTACTTGTTCTGTTTTGATTCTAAAGGTTGTAACTTTGTGGATTGTTCTGTAGTTTAAAAGAGTGAGTTTTTATAATAATGTGCTGTAGAGCTTCTGAGGTAGAACAAGTGTGTTGATAGTTTTAGTTATGAGGCATTTCATTTTGATGATTATATATGATTAGTTTCTTTACTTGTTCTGTTTTGATTCTAAAGGTTGCAACTTTGTGGATTGTTCTGTAGTTTAAAAGAGTGAGTTTTTATAATAATGTATTGTAGAGCTTCTGAGGGAGAATAAGCGTGTTGATAGTTTTGATTCTGAGGCATTTCATTGGTTTGATGATTATATGTGATTAGTTAATTTACTTGTTCTGTTTACATTCAAAAGGTTGCAACTTTGTGGATTTTTTGGTAGCTTTAAAGAGTGAATTTTTAAAATAAAGTATTGCAGAGCTTCTGAGGTAGAACAATGGTGTTGATCGTTTTGATTCTGGGGCATTTGATTGGTTTGATGATTATATGTGATTAGTTGCTTGTTCTGTGGATTGTTCTGTAGCTTAAAAGAGTGAATGTTTAAAATGATGTATTGTAGAGCTTCTGAGGGAGAACAAGCGGATGCTGGATAAGTCTATAAGAGAGATAGAAAGGGAGAGGCAAGGACTTCAAACGCAAGAGAAGAAACTTATCGCCGAGATTAAAAAGACTGCAAAGCAAGGACAGATGGTTTGTTTTTCTCTCTTCGTTACCATGTCTAGGATCACTTATCTGTATGCAAAGTTAAATAGGCCTCAGATGAATTAGTTGAGAACTCTGTTACTGCTCCTTCTCTGTTTATAGGTATCAGGTGTGTCTTTGTTTTGTACCACTCTGCAGTTTCTGCAAGTTAGAAATGACTAGCTAGTTTAGTTGACACTATGTGCTGTTCCTTGTCTGTTTATAAGTTTCAGGCTTGTCTTTAGTATCACTAAATGATTACAGTGATGCTAATAGTAGGAGTCTGACACGTTAGAGAATTCTTTGCGGTTTATATAACGATGCATGTTTTAGAAGAAGTAGTTTGCTTTGTATAGACTATGTTCCCCTTCACAGTTGGAAATTATTTTGGTAAATTGACTATCATTTGCTCTCATAGGGAGCTGTTAAAGTGATGGCAAAGGATCTGATCAGAACGCGGCACCAGATTGAGAAGTTCTACAAGCTTAAATCCCAACTTCAAGGTGTATCTCTCAGGATTCAGGTATGCTTTACTTCACCGAAAGTCGAACGAAACCAAACACGTGTAGATTTATTTCCTGCAATGGCAATGAACTTAAATTTTGTTTCTTCAGACTCTGAAATCAACACAAGCGATGGGTGAGGCGATGAAAGGTGTGACTAAAGCAATGGGGCAAATGAACAGACAGATGAACCTACCATCTCTGCAGAAAATCATGCAAGAATTTGAAAGGCAAAACGAGAAAATGGAGATGGTCTCTGAGGTGATGGGAGATGCTATTGATGATGCACTAGAAGGAGATGAGGAAGAAGAAGAAACCGAAGATCTTGTTAGTCAAGTCCTTGACGAGATTGGTATCGACATCAACCAAGAGGTAGAAACATCAAACTTAACTACATATCACTTAGTCCACTTATAGATGCTAAATCTGAATAACTGAAACAATCTAATACGAACCTAAAATGATCTAAACATATTCGGCTAGACTGAAACCAATACTGATTGCACATTACATTAGTTACCATACTTTTCAACTATAAGGTGCTTAACTTGATTGGACTTGTATATATCTATGTTTCAGCTGGTGAACGCTCCATCTGGTGCAGTCGCAGTACCAGCAGCAAAGAACAAAGTGGTACAAGCTGAGGCGGCCGGAGCCGATGACAGCGGAGGTATAGATAGTGACCTTCAAGCAAGGTTGGACAACCTTCGAAAAATGTGAAACCTTTCGTGTTTCTGTATCATATTATTACTTGTGGTTGATCTCTCACTATTCAACTTCAAATGCAAAATGTTGCCAACGACATGTTTATGTTTTTGGGGGTGGTTTTGTAATAATCTCATAATTTGTGCCCTGAATTTATAAACTGATTATTGTTCAAACACTTTTCTTTGTATATACAATTAAAGAGTGTGAGAGAATGAAAACGGTTAAAATCAACCCCAACAATTTGCGGAATACTTTTTTATACCCAAACTTCAATAAATAGTCGTTTTTTACCTAAACTGATAATATATTCAAATTTACAATTTGTACTTATAACTAAGCTAAAACCAACATTGACCTTGACGGTTTTAGTCAATTGTTAATTTCTTAGGATATCAACAATGTATTTTAATGACGTTTTTTTCTGCATTTTGTAATATGATTTTTTTTTTCTTTTTCTTCATCATTAATATTGACAGTTGACTGAAATTGTTAATTTCATACATTTGACTTATCGTAAATATTTTTAATTACCATCTAAGCGACAAAAACGACGTCGTTTTACCACGTCATTAAACGATGGATTTACGTGGAATCTACATCGCTGCTATTAGACGGAGAGTCAACTGTGTTACGCATTTAACATGTTTTGTATTATTCAGCTCGAAATGAATCTCCATATACTAAATCAAATTTACAATAATCTCAGGTATGATCTAGCACAACGACAAGTCAAATGTATGAAATTAACATGCCTAAATAGTCCATGTATGAAAAAGTCTATTTTCCGATAGCTGACTGAAATTGTCAAAACCAATGTTGATTTGGTCTAATATTTATAAGTTTAGGTTGTAAATCTGCATATGTTATCAATTTGTGTATGAAACGACCATCAACCAAAATCTAGGTATAAAAAAGCATTCAGCCGTTGACCAAAAAAAAAAAAAAAAAAAAAAGCATTCGGCAAATTGTTTGTGTTGATTTCGGCCGTTTTTACTAAAACCAAAAGTATTGTATTTTTCCAAAATCTTAATCGAACCGGAACTATGCACCTCTCAATTCGGTTTAACCTTAACCATATAAATTTCGTCAATTACCGAACCGGACACCGTGTACGATATTTTGATCACGCTTCACACGACCAATAGCAACCACAGTAATCTCAAAACGAAGATAACGTTATCTATCCAATAAGCAAATTTGTAAGCTCAGAAGCTGCCACGTAAGACTCGTATCTCACACCTCCCAATCTCCGAAACCTCATTTTCCTCAAATCTCTCTTCTCAAATACCATTCTCCTCAGCAACTTCACACATTTAACAATATCAATCTAGAGAGACAGAGACCAAAGAGAGATCAGAAGATATGGCTTCTACCTCGGCGATGTCATTGGTCACACCACTTAACCAGACCCGTTCATCTCCTTTCCTCAAACCATTGACTCTGAAACCATCCAAGGCTTTGGTTGCATCTGGTGGCAGAGCACAGAGGATTCAAGTTAAGGCGATGAAGATGGACAAAGCTTTAGCCGGGATCTCCGCGGCTGCTCTTACTGCTTCCATGGTTCTCCCTGAAGTGGCTGAAGCTGCTGGCTCTGGAGTCTCTCCTTCCCTTAAGAATTTCTTGCTCAGTATTGCTTCTGGTGGTCTTGTTCTCACTGTCATCATTGGTGTCGTCCTTGGCGTCTCCAACTTTGACCCTGTTAAGAGAACCTAAGAGCTATGTATCTTTCTAAACACCATTGTAATCTGTTCTCTTTTCTCTGTGTATTTGATTTACTGTTGCAGCAATGAACTTTTGTCAAAAGTGAAAACTTGTTGTTTCGTGAATCCGAAAAAAACCGAATGAGATTTGAAACCATAACGCTAAGCTTTCATTAGAATTCATCATATAGTAGGGTACTAAACTCAAGTTTGCATATTCTTAGTCAAGTGAAATATCTGAATGTTAGACCTTTAGAGACCTTTACCTTACGAGCAAATCAAGCAAGAATCTACTCTCGGATGTATAATTCACCTTATCTACCTTCACCACAGTCATCTTCACTCTTTGTTCATCACCATATGATTCCTCTTTGATCTTTAGCTTTAACATGTACTGATGAAACAGTCTGTCTCTAACAATCTCTGCAAATTCTTCCTCCTTTTCCAATTCGTATTTCAATGCGTAAAGCTTCTGAGCCGGACATCCCATGATTTCTTCTCCTGTTTCTTGAAACGCGGTTACCCAAGTCAACCCAGTGTGGTCTTGTATCTGCACCTGAAGAAGGTATCTGTATTCGCATTCATCAGACTCTTGGTTGCACCGGTCACAGAGCCACCTGTTTGTTCCAGAACGTGTCACCTTTTTGTTGCATTGTTTATCTCCGATCATCAAAGGACAAGCTGTGTAACAGAAGCTATCTGTTTTGATGAATGATACGGTTGCTTTCACAGTGATCCAGTCAGGCTTATCTGATCTTCCAAGGCCTTCCTCTTTGATCTGAGAAACATTTTTTCTTATCTCATTCCTGGAACTTCCTCCAGGCATGGTATCTCTAGAGATGGAGAAGGATGCGGTATCTTTCCCCCCGCGATCGAACCAGTTCCTCAGTTTATGAGCTTCAGGGAAATCTGGATTTATGAAAAGTTGCGTTGAAGAGATTGTCCCCACAGATTTCCCACTGAAGTCACTTACTTTTCCAGCTTTTATAGCTAAAACCGGGTGAGAGGCTGAATTAACCATCTCTTCAAGCTCCCGACCATCTCGGTTACAGAATTCTCCCCATAATGTTACCTCTACAGCCTTTCCCGATTCATCCTTCAGATTAAGGATTCTCCTATGGGTTTCCATCCCATTCTTTCTCAAGATTGGTACCGAGGGGTTCACAGAAGTCACAACCCCAATCACATCAAGTATGGTATTGTTCTCAGCGTTCTCAATGTCACTTATCGGACGGAAAGAGAACTGTTGCCTTGGTATGGAGCCATCTTCATCAGGGCAAAGCTCCACAGTCGATGCTGACTCCAAGAAAATTTCCCACTCATTCTTTAAGTGGTTGAAATTTTTCTGTGCGGGCTTCAAACTTCCCTTTGAAATCAAATATACCTTCCCAACCTCAGTAACATCATAGAATCGATCGACAACAGCATTAAAGCAGGTAACCCGAATCTCTCCTCCATCAGAATCAAGCAGATCAAACGAGAAAACTTTTCCATCTCCTTTTGCATTGTTATACCGTCTGATATCTCCTTTCGCAGTTATTCTAGCCTTAATAGCCCACCGACCTTGGTATGGATTGAGAGCAGCAATAGGGATGACTCGAGCTGGAGCCTCGTTCTTCATTATGGGTCCATGATTTCTGTAGCTTGCAGGCGGTTGATATGAAGGTTGAACAGATGGCCTGAAACTTGAAGTACTGTTGGCTGAATTTTGAATGTTTATGCCTCGAGGAGGTGCTTTATTAACTGAATGCTGAACCATTGGTTCATTAAAACCAACCCTATTCGAAAGCGGTATATTCCCCGCAGCTGAAAGTGTCTTTTGGGCTTCTGCATCTGTTTCCCCAAATATTGTGGGGTTCCCAATGGTTTCAGATTGTGGTACTAGCGTCTCCATGTTCAGCACCACAATAACCCTGTACACAGTATGCATAAAGAGTTATAAGAAAATTACCATCAATAGAGTAAAACTCTTTCAAATATATCATGCTCAACAAAGCAAATCTGTAACTATATTTTCCACTAACACAATCAACAAAATAGTCTCCATTTTCACCCCTGAATACTATGAACTACAAATCTTTGGCACTAGTAAACTCTAACCAGAATCATTCATCCATACCAAATAAAAAAATAAAAGTAAAAGCAACTGACTACAACAATCTTCAGCGAAAGGTGTCAATCTAAAGCAAAGCTATCATTTCTTTTGCAAACTCATTGTCACAAATGCCACATACTAACCAAATACGGAACTAAGAATGCTCAAAAACATCACAGGACATTTACTCTCCATAGCAAGGCACAGAATAAGCAACTTAGTACATCACAGAATCAAAAGCAACTATAGCAAAACCATAGATAAGACTACAAAATACAAATATCCAACAAAATCTGTATCCAAAGCCAAAAACTAGTCAACAAAACCATAGATGAGACTACAAAAGCACATAGATCAAAATTTTCTCCCTTCCTACGGAATCAGTACCAACACTTATCAAACTTCCAAATCACACTTACTAAACCAAAGGTAATCTAAGATCTAACCAGAGAAGAAACGAACTAGAGAGGATAAGAAAAATTACTTGCGGCCTTTAACATCGCTGCAAATGTAATCAATCAACTGAACGATAGATCCTTTATCAACAGCTCCTGACTTGACTCGATCATTAAGCTGAACAGCAACCATAGCATGTTGAGCTGAAACACCATCCGAAATAAGAAAACGATACCTCTCCTGATTCCTCTCTTGGCTTCGTCCTATCATTTTGATATCTAAAACCTGTAACAACGGCTTCAAATTCACGTCTCCGGCGTTTATCGCCGTGATTGCGTTCGGTGTCAAACTCACCGGCATAATGTCCAGATCCCGGCGCGAAACCCTAGAAAAAATGGAAAGAGGATAAACCGAGAAAGGAAATTAGGAAATGGTTATACAGAGAAGAAGCAGAGAGTGAGGAAGACGATGATTTTGAACCTCGACGGTGGTGGTGATGGTGAGTGATGTTGATAGATTCCTATGGAAGCTTTTGCTGAATTTTGCGGGAGAAGAAGCGTTGAAGATGATGTTGTTGTTGCAACAACAGTTTATTAGGATATTTTCAATTTTGAAATTTTTTTTATTGACAATTCAGTTTGAAATTACTAAACTACCCTCGAGTTAAACTGTGGTCTGTGACCGACTTAAACAAAATTTAGTAATTTACATATGTAAAATTTCTAAAATATAAGCCAACTTTTTTATTTGAAAGTGAAATACAATTTTTGTTTTGCATTTAACAACAAAGATTTAGTTTTTTTATTATTAATATTATTAAAAAAATATTTTTAAATTTCTAAACACACAATTTAACAGTTGTTAATGAAAATGATAGAATCGATAGACGCCGTTAATTTTAAAACGAGAAAAGTAAACACTAAGTATTCTTCGAGGGAAAAAAATCATCTATGATTTTCCAAAAATAATATCATAGTTTTTTGGGGTTTTCCTAGTTTACATGAAAGCGATGTAATAATCCTGGAATTAGAGAAAATAAATTATCTATATTTTTTTTTTTCAGTTTAGTATGGAAAATCATGTTGACATAAATTAAAGAAATCCATATTATCACTGTAAATTAATAATTAATTGACACATGAAATTAAAGGGGAAGTTTAGGATGATCCACATTAGATTGATACCACAAATATGTTACAAAAATACTTATATTTATTTTGACAAAAGTTTTGGGGAAAATCATTTCTAAATTAGTACATTTCTCCTTTAAGTAAGTTTGAATTTAATCAACATGTTGTTTTAGTTTATAAATGTCTCGGTTTTTTTTTTTCCTTTGTTAATTGTTGCCTTATTTCTAACAAAGGAAAGTTAAAAACAGAGACACTACAAGATCATACAAAATAAATTAAAAAACAAACCACAAAACATTACAAGATCATATAAATTTAATATAAGATGTTACTAATTCTAGTTAGTATATATAAAACCAATCAATTCCTTATGTAAATAGAGTTATTAAATTGCTTAAAACTTCCACAAATGATAGTATCCTATAATAAACCTAGCTTTCTTATTATAGAACACTATCTCTAATCTCTAATTCTTTTTTTCTATGACATGAGAAAGGAAATAAAGAATTAAAACGTTGACATTTTGACAACAAAAGTAAACGAAAAGAAACAATTCAGATAATACATAAAAAATACTTAGCAAAATATGCTCTATTATGACTTTTCTCTCTTACACATTAACCATGCCTTGTTCTCCTGTGACCACCAGCTGAGTCTCCTTCAGAAGAAGCTTCCATGGATTTAGAGAAGTTATTAGAAAGATCAACATAAAGATGTGCAACCTTTCTAACATTATCGTTCAATTCGCGGATCAGACCGATGTTTCGTCCTAGGTTTCCCGGGATCTTGGACTCATGGTTTTGGTTTATCTCGTTTATGAGAAGTCTGTTGTGGTCTAATATGTTTTGCACTTGAACAAAACTTTTCTCAAACGTTTGAAGAATCTTCCCATCCATTTGAACTGATCCATTCCCTATCATCATCATCATCCCAGAGATTGTGTCTCCTTCCATATCTACTGATCAAACAAATATATCAATGGGATAAAGATTCACAAAATTTTAAGGGTTATGAGAAAATGTATATGTCATTTTTGTGTTACATGATTGTCATGTGTGTGTGCAGACAAAAATAACGCATTAGACTATTTCTATAAAGAGCAACTTTTCTTGGGTTTAGTAACAAATATATAAAGAAAGAAAAAAAACTTAAACCAAACAATAAAATAAAATTATTTTGAAGTGTGATGTTAATATTTTTGCTGAAAAATTATTTCTTTTATATTTTTTAAAATCCATATGAACACAAAAAGGTCTGTTTTTTTCTTGCCAAATAAAATGTTTTTCTTTTTTTACATTTTTCTCAATAAACCAAAGAGCAAATTTTGTTGAGTTTAGTAACATATATAAACAAATCTTAAACTAAACAATAACAAACTCATATATAACATAGTGATGTTAATATTTTGGCTGTCAAAATTTAATTTAATTTAATTTAATTAAACACATTTAATTTTTAATGTGTTAAAAAAAAAATTATAATTAAAGAAAACCCATAAAGACACAAATGGGTGTGTCAGTGTATGTGTTTTTCTTGCCATAAATAAAATAACTTACTATTGAGAATTTTTTTTATATACTCTATTGTTATCCACAAAGCCAAGACAAAAAAAAAACTAAAATAATATCCATTTTTATATAATTGTTTAAATAAAAATGGTGGACCATTTTGGACAATTTATATAAAAAAAAAAAGAGTAGCAAAAAGGATATGTGATTTTATATTTGGGACCAAAAGAAGAATCTGATGAAACAAAGTTAGCAGTCAATGTTGTAGCAAAGAGGATGAGAGACATTTGTGGGTTCTGCTACTTGCTTCAGACAAAACTCATTACTATTCACAACCCATCAAACCATGAAAACTCTGAACTACCATCTCTTTAATTAATATACTCTTTTTCATTTTCAGAACCACCATTTAATTACAAAAATAAAATAAAAAGTTAATAAATATTAACACTTTCAACTTATATTTTTGTCATACCAATTTTTTAATGGCTGATATTAATTTTTAAGGTTTATTCTATATAGATGAATAAATACTTTAACTGAAATGTATATATATATATATATATATATATATATATATATATATATATATATTGTT